CTCAAATTCTCTGATTCCAGGACCCTTTTACACGCTTAAAAATTGATGACCTAAAGTAACTGTTGATTATGTTGGTTTAACTATCAATATTTATATATATATTGATAGTTAAACTGGTAAAATTTTAAAACACAAGAATACACCAGCACACATGCCATAGGCCAGCAAAGCAATGATGTCATTACATATCATGAACCTTCTAGAAAACTCTACTGTACATTTGTTAAAGTATGAGATTGAAAGGTAAAATGCATCTTAGCATTGTTATGAAAATGTTTTATTCTAATAGATCCTCTGAAAGGGTCTCAAAGAACCACAGATTTCCCCAGAATACACCTTGAAAAGAGAGGATTGTCTGCTCTACAAAATAACTGACATAGAAGTCTACCAGATAGCAGTATTCAGTTGGTTGATTTAATTTTCTATCCCAGAGATAATGTTCACAATAATTAGGACTACCACCAACAGTATTCCATTTAAGTTCTTGAATAATATGGATCAAATGTTAACAGTTTCTAATATGTATATGTAATCACTCTTATGAAGAAATTCATTAACATTAAACTAAATTCTTGTCTTAAGTGTCAATAAGACATTAGTAAGACATAAATTATTAAGATCTATAGAATCTGTTATGATCAAATACAGGAAGAACTCTCCCCTTTCATCCACTCCTTAAATCAAATGGAGAATTTCAATGAATTCAGAGTAGGACAGCTAATTTTTTATATATATTTTGTATTTGTGAGTGCATGAGCACACTTAACAATTCTAAGAAAAATATTACACCTGGTTACTTTATGAGGTAGAAGAGTTAATTTTATTGGGCCACATAGACACTCAGACCAGGGTAATGACATTAAAAGATTTGGGGAAAACTATACATCTTTGGGCTCACAGATGCTATTTACAGGCATGCTCACACTACTCTCTCAAAGTGACCAATAAACATCAATATCAAAATCACAACCAATGAAAAATCTGGATTTTTCTCCTCACTGATCAACAACTACCTAATAACACACACAGACACACACACATACTCACACACACACACACACACACACACACAGTCAAGAAAGGAAAAATGTCAGGAGGCCCTTACTCATATTTGAATGTTTTAGTTTATATTTTACTATAAAATTGGGTATTCTATAAGGGAATTCATTTGCATAAAAGAAAAAGACATAAATGTAATAGTAATCTAAGCATAAATATGTCCTTGAAGGCAAACAAATGCTAAATTACAATACAGCCTCTGTCTTTAGGGTTCCTCCCTATGTGAGCAACTGCATATTTTGAATGTAATGCAAATCTAAGAAATCAAAGGGAAAATAGTCATTTGCAAAACTTAAGGAAAGATCATCTCCCTCTAATTCCAACTGCTCTAGCCGTTCACACCATGCTAAATTAAGGCTGTATAACATTTCTCAAAATCACTTTGTTTTTAAATACACAATCAGTTTTCCTTGCTGATTTCTGGGCAAAACTGCCCCACTTCTAATAGTAACTGTCACTCCTACTTGGCAGCTCTTTTCAAAGAGAGTTTCATCCAGCAGTTGAAGCAGCCTAAATGAAATCTGAAAAACAATTCAGTTTAGCATTATATTATTTGACTGACTTCAATTCTTTTGATTTGATAGACTTTTTTTTTTTAATCTTCTATTTAGGATTAACTTGGCTATAACTCACCAAGGAATCTAAAGGACAACAAGTCCATAAAAATTTTGCCTTTCCTAACTACTAGAAACAACGTCAGGCACAGTAGCCGGAGCCAGTAAGTCTCATACCCACTATTATTCCCCATGGAAAGAAATGTTTAAATCTCCAAAATGCAAGAAGATTATCATTAAGAAAATCATTTCTAAAAGACCTTCCATTCATATTTTCATGGAGGGCTCTCAATCTGAAGGATAATCACACCAAGCAACTTAAAATGAGACATCAAAAGCATTTACCCATCAAGCAAATCACATGCTTCAGGCCAGGGATGCCCGGAGCAACCTAACATATCTATCTAAAAAATGTGAATAGTTCACATAAACCTTTATACTAATCATTCCTCCTACCCTGAGTTTATAGAAATAGTCTAGTCAACCATAGACACCAATGAAGCAGGTTATTGAATATTTAGTTATGAAGAAGTGCTAGGGAATGGCATTCAGGCACTTCTGACACATTCACCTTCAGCTAAAGACAGCACACAATACACTGACAGACACAGTTCTAATGACATCAGGACCTGTGGAATGTATGACTGCTAAGAAACACATGCTGCTAGGAAACAAAGAACAGATCTGATCAAATCTTCTAACATAAGGGCTCCGAAAAACACTGTGATTAGATCTTCTAAAATGAGAGGACAAGTATTCTTTAATCTTAAGAAATATTTGCAAGTGCAAAGGCTTTAACACATACCCTCTAGGAAGGAAAGAAATATATGAAGCTAGAATCTCATGGATGAAATCACAATTCCCTAAGTTTGCATTAAGACAACTGCCACCAGCACTATCCCATAAAAATATAACTTAATCAAGATCAGGCATCAATGATTCAGTATTCCTTTTTGGTGGGGGGAGGGGGGGCAACCTAAGCTTTTTCAAGTCAAGATCCTAAAATTGAAAGAAATGTGGAAATCATGGTACCCAGAAAAAAAGTACCCTTTCACATTTACAGTGCTATACTTTTTTCAACAAAATAGAACATAGCCATTTGCAACAAACACAAAAGCAGTCAGAGCTAATCTACAACTAAGCAATTTAATGTCTTTTTAATAACTGAAAAGTGTTTAGCTTTCCAACTTTTTAAAACTGTTTGTCTTTGTACATTTTTAATCCTTGGACACGCACACACAAAAAAAAGATTGGGTGAAACAAAGGTGAAGATATTTCAAGGCAAGTATTCTTTTAACTCCTAGACAAAGTCTGGAAACCTCTTTTGATGATACTATAAAAGAACTGACAATTCTGTCTAATCCACATACAGACAAATTGGGCACCAGAACTCCAGGTCATTTAGTACCATTGTAGATTGAAAAATATACCAAGGAAATCTAGCTAAATTCTGTTTAATCTCACAGGGAAATAAAGTACATTCTCCAAATGAAAAATTACTGAAGAACTATTTCTTTGTAGATTCTGCAATGACATTCTTTAACTAGTGTTGATAACCCATATGACCCTAAATTAGCAGATTGCCTATTTACTTCAGAGCAAAACACAGAAGGCAATTTTTCCTGCCTGCCAGAGTCTATGCATCTCCTCCTTTCCCCAGCAGCTGGCTGGAAGGATGTAAAATCAGAGGGGCAAGAAGGCTTATACTTCCTAATGAGTAATCTACCCAGGAAAGTAAACACAAGACACCACCAGGTTGGGCTCTAAAGGGGACTGTGGACACCACCAGGTTGGGCTCTAAAGGAGACTGTGGCAGGGCTGCTTACACCGTTGTTTACAATGTACTCTACCGCAGGCAAGATCACACACAGGAACAGGGAGGAGATACCCAGAGGTGGCTCGCACACCTCGAGTTCGCCCAATTGCTGTGATTCCTCTGGCCATAAATAAAAGAGCGCACGTTCGTATCTGAAAGTGGCCAGAGAATTCCGGGGACCAGGGGTTATGCTGGCTTGACTTGGTTATTTCAATCTGCCCGAAAGACGACTACTCTATTCCTTGGTCCTCATCAGGGCCAAATTGGGGGTGCCCTGCGCGCTGCACCAGAGACTCTCAGGCGCTGCACGCATCTCTCAGAGGTGCTCAGTAGGGGAGAGGGGACACAGTGAGGCTTCTTCGCAACCCCTACCGGCCCCCGCGGCCTCCTCAAACCAGATTTTCCAGTTAAGCGGATCCCAGGCGATTTCGATAAACAAGCTCAGCTCAAGTAGCATCAGCTCTGCCATCCCCGCAAATATCGCCAGGCCATCCCCGGAGCGCATGAACGCGCACACAGATAGGCACACGCCGACCCTGCTGCCAATTAACCCTGGTAGCGGAGGTTCCCCCCACCCCACCCCACATACACACCCACCCACCTATACTGCTAGGGGCCTGGCACGTTTAGCCCTTGAGCTCCGATGTGGGACCATCGGCGGGGGCGCGGCGGCACCGACGCTCCGCTGCAGCCCAGAGCCTTCCCTTCACTGGTGAGAAGATGCGGGTCACCTGCCCTCCTACCTTTAACCCAGCCGAACGCCGCCACCAATGCTCTGCCCACCCCGCCCCGGCGCCCCGGCCACCCCGATTCGTGCAACACCGCCCCCCGCCCCGAGCCCACTCCCAACACCGTGCCGCCCCGGGCCACCCACGAAAGTGGCAGCTTTCTCCAGCCAAAAGCGCTTAACAAAGGCCAAACAAGCAGGTCTAAACCAAACTGCCGTGAAAGGGACACAACGGGCGGGGTGCAGGGAGGTAGCGAGGCTCCGCGACTCAGGGGCGCGACCTGGGCAAACGTGGCCACCATGGATGCTCCAGGCAAGCGTCTAGAGAAGATCGCGGCGGACTCACCGCCCCGCAGTCCCCATCACCCCTGAGCCCAGCGCCTCACCCGGTCCCTGTCGGTCCTCCAGCCCTCTCCCGCCTCCAGCGGCACCGGCTCCGGGCCGGTAGAGAGAAGGCGCCCCCTGGTCGGCATTCAGTTCCTACCAGGGGATGACACTGGGGTGAGAGGGGAGGGGAAATTCCCAGAGTGGAAACCGTTCCTATCCCCCAGAGTGTTGGACAGCGAATGCTCCCGGTCAACTCTCCCTTTCATTTCTCTCAGCCGCCAAATCGCCCAATAGCTGGAAAAACCTCGAACCCGTACCAACCCCCAGCGCCCATCAGCCATGAGGTTCCCTTCCCGCCCCGCATCACGATCGGATGAGTGTGTGTGCGGGCGAGTGTGTGAGTGGGAGGGTGAGTGTGCGTGAATCCTGCACCCCCTCGGTTGCCTGCCCCGCGGACGCAGATGCCTGCGCCGGACCAGGGCCACCACTATCAGGAAGTGCGAGAAGAATAAATTACCTTTCGTAACCGCCGGTCCCTGAGATCGTCCCATCAGTTGGTCAACAACCTGCAGCCCGGTGCAGTTTCCACAATCCAGCCATGGAGCTCGGGGCAAAAGACCGAGCGGCCCCAGCGAAGACACCCCCACCGCACGCGTCCAAGAATGATAGCCAAAGCGCAGAGAAGGCAGCAGGAGGGTAGAGACCCCAGCGAAGGAAACAACAAAAAGTCTTTCCTTCCCCCTTTCTTCTGCTACACAGCCATGAAGAAAAGGGAAGGGGGGGGGGCAAAATCCAAATGTTTGTCTTCCTTTACGTTTCCTCTCTTCACACACACCAAGGGGGTAAAAACGGAGCAAAGGGGGTGGAGGGTTCAAATGTCTCTTCCAGTCCACAGTTGCACAACTTCGGAGTCAGGCTCTGTCTCCAGCGGCAGCCGAGGGACCCAAGCGGCAGCTATTAACATGCGGCAGTCATAGCTGGGGCTGCTTTTCCTCCCGCTGCCGCTGCCGCTTAAGAAAAGACGCTTCTGGAGAGACCAAAAATGTTCCACCATCCCCCCAGCCGATCTTTATATCCAGTTCTCCCACCCCACCCCCTTTCTTTTTCTTTTTCTTCCTCGTCCTCCCCTTTCCGGCTGAGTGCGGGAGCGAGGGAAAAGGTAGGGGGAGCCGCGAGGGCCAGGGGTGGCTTCTTCTCCGCCAAACCCTCCTCCTCCTCCTCCCGAGGTTGTCTCCTCGCCGAGGGTCTCCTCTCGAGTCCGCAACCTGCGCAGAGAGCTGGAGCCAGGGCCACACAAACTCCTTCCCGGGTGCACAGCGGGGACGCGCGGGCGGAGCGGGCGCCGGGCAGCCGAGGGCTGCGTCCCGGGGGCCGCGGAGCCCAGAGCCCGGAGTGTGGCTGATTAGCTCGCCGGCCGGGCCGGGCAGCTGCGAGCATGTGGGAGCTTCATCGCGCGGCCCCGGGCTTCGCGCCGCCGCCGCCTCGTCGGTCCTGTACCTTCTTCGACTCCCCGAGAGCGAGCAGGGCTCTGGCGCTCTCCAGACACGCACACTCACACACGCGCACACGCGAGCGAGCTCCGGCCAAAGCCAACCGTGCCACCGGCGCGCGCGCACACCCGGAGAAAGAGGACGGAGGCTAAAAGAGAAGAAAGAAAGGGGAGGGGGCGAGTCACAGGCGGCAGCAGCGACAGCTGCGGGAGCGGAGGCAACAACCAGTACGGGAAAAGCCGGTAGCGGCAGCGGCGGCGCCCACCAGGACCAGCGGCAGCATCTGCATCCCAGCTCCTGGGAACTGGGGCGAGCAGTGCCGGGCGAGCAGACGACCCGGCGACGCGCCGAGAGCCGGTCGGAGCGCGGGCGCGCCGGGGCCGTGCAGCCTGCGTGCGGCGGACGCAGCCGGGGCCCGAGCCGAGGCCAGAATGAGCCTCGGGCGGGCGAGCTCCGAGAGCGCCGAAAGCCGAGGAGGGGGCTTGCGCCGGAGAAAGGGGTGGCGGGAGGCAAAACCCGGATCTGGAGTGCGCTCGGGCTCCGCCGCGCGGGCTCCACCTAGCAGCTCGACAAACGCTTGGAGGTGGGAACGAGAGAGCTGCTACAAGAGGCTTTCCTTTCAGGGTTTGTCAAACAAAGGGTACCTCTCCTCGCGGCTTTGAGACAAGCTTTTCTCTCTCTCTCTGGCTCTCTCTCTCCCCCTCTCTCTCCCCCCCCCCCCCCCCTTAGCCTTCCCTCTTCCCTCTCCCCTCTTTCTCTCTTTCTTTCCCCCCTCCCTCTCTCCCCTCTTCTCTTCCTCCTTCATTCCACACCAGGTGAGTAAACGACGTCAGATTGAAAGTACTGCCAGTGTCTCTTTTTACAGGTACAGATTATTCCATATTTTCATTATGCAGGTACCGAGTCCCAGTGCGTTTTCTGACTTTGGTCCATTTTATGTTCCTTCAAACTTACCTCAGCGTGCAAGTTCATTGCAGCCGTTAAAGTACCTTCTGATAATAGGATGTGGGGATTCAGTGACTTTATTTTACATCGATAAAAATTACCATAATGGATACAGAAAGGTGCCGATTCCAAAGCAATGCCTTGTGATAGAGGAAAAGTCTGTTCAAGTTAACGGAGTGACCTTGGTCAATTACTGAACCCCCTTCTGCCTTCTTTGTAAATGAGAGGGTTAAGTAGGTAATTTCTAAGGTCTTGTCCTGCTCTAAAATTTCATAATCTGAAATGGCTAAGATGTTATTTTCTATATTAATACATTCGGGTTACCATTACAGGAGAAACTAAGATTTATTATATGCATCCAACAAGCACATTATACCCAAATTATATTTGAATGTATATAATATATTCAGAATGATCTAATGCTCTCCCAGTTCTTAGGGAGGTAGAGTCAACATATGAAGAACATAAAACCTCATTCGAATTAACAGACCATACCCAGTACCAGTGACTATCAAAATCTCATTCAGTCTGCAAAGCTCAATTCCAGTACCAACTGCTCCAAAGATCCTTTTCTCACCAACCCCATTCAAAATAATCACCCCTTCCATTATATTCCCTTTGATTGTATCTCTACAGAACACCTATTTCATTCTGCTTTTTTCTTGTTCTTTTAAAATTATTAGCTGCTTGTCTCTATGCCTCTTCGCATTATAGGGTCTTCCTGGAATCTAAATTACAAATTTTAATCATCTGTATAACATAAGATTAATCTGTATCCACAATATTTTGCACGTTGTAATTCTTTTTATTTTTAAAAAAAATGGGAAAGCGATTTAATGATATTGCTGAATTCTGACCAACTAAATGTTCACAGGCTCAAGTTAGGCTACTTGAATTTGCCTATTATGGGGCATCTATGAATTCCCCTGAGTACTTAAACAAAATATAAACTGACATCTGGAGTCACTTGTTACTTAAATAATTTTGGAAAGAGTAGACTCCAGCCAATCGTGACAAGAGGCTCTTATTTGTAAAGGAGGCAAGATGGAAACTACTCAATTCATCTCCCAAATGTATATATATAGAAAAGTAATAAAATAATAGAATATAGAATGAAAGGTGCTATATAGATATCAAATGTTATTAGTGGTAGCAGCAGAAATATAAATAAACAGCACCTATAGACCAATTTTTAGAATCAGACTTATCACAATATGGCAGGTCTGGTAGGATATGTGAAAGGAATAAAATTTCAATATATAATTAATATATTTATCAAAACATGAAAGATATTAACTGAAAAGTAAGCATATTGAGTTAAATAAATAATTAAAAGTATTCACCACAGAGGAGTTGACTACAAATAAGCAAAATTACAAACAGAATAATGAGGGAGAAAGAACCAAAAAGGAAAAAAAAAAGTGAATAAAAATAACAGATGGTTAAATAAAAGCAGTGGAAAGAAAAGAATAGGTTTATACAACTTAATCAAATGTCAAAGTAACAATTTTTACAGCAGCTACCTGTATTTTAGGTTCAAACTTCATGCTTCTAAATCATTTTTAATCTGATGGGCATAGTCTTCTCTATTTGATTTAAGATACAAAGTGTCAATACTCCATTGCCAGGAAATCCATGACTCTTGCCAATATTTTTCTAAGGTGAACCTTCCACAAAAATACACTCAAATAAAATACTGTGCCCTCTTTGCTACCCAACTATATTGAACACCTTCTACTCAGTGACAAGATAGTATAACAGATGATGTTTGAGGAAAGATGCTATTATATGTGGTAGCTCTGTGTGCTAGAGTGGTTTTTAAAAAAGATCACACTGTCAACTTCAACTCCATTAAAATTGAAAAAAATCAATATTTGTAAAATGGAAAAGAACTCCTCCCCCAATTTTTTAAAAAAGCTGAGTAGCCAATCAAATAAGATAACCACAATTAAAATGTTTTAGTAATTTTAAAAATTTCCTAACCAAAGGATTTTTTCAAATTAATAATTAATATACTAAAATCTCCAATACATGTAAGTTAGGAAAAGAACATGGATAACATGTTCACAAAAAAAATTCAAATGGCCAATAAACAAAAGGAAAAATGTTCTGCCAATATAAATCCAATACATAAAAATATATAAAATTAACTATAATTTTATAATTATATAAAAATATATAAAATTACCAGATCCATCATGTTTCATGTTTCACTCATGAAATTAGCTGAAAACTAGCAGTTCCCTACTACTAAACTCTAACAAAAGTGTACTGAGACAGGCCTGCCTCTATGATAGTGATGTACACTGACACAATTTTTCTGGAAAGAAAGCTGAAATTATGTCAACTGCCTTATAGAATATATATGTCATTAATCCACAGTTTCTATTTACAGATATCACTTCTACAGAAATAAACAGAGGTATGGACAAGGATTTTGTATAGTGATACACACCTCAGTTGTAATTGTTATATAAGGGAAGTAAGTATGTAAGATATCTTGTTTTTGCATACTCAGTAAATGCCCTTACCTGATTGGAATTGGTAGTTATTCAGTTAGTGGGGGGGAAAGTTGGTTAAAGCAAACAAAATTTTTTTGAATGATCTGTATATTCTATATTAGTTAGAATTCATTTTGGCTGCAAGCAACAGAAACACAAAGCAACAGTAAACAAGATAAAAGTTTCTTTCTTTCTCAGGTTAAAGTGTAGCAGTTAGTGATCCTGGGCTCTTGTGGCCCTAACAAAGCATTCCAGCCTGAAACAGACAACTTCCTTAACTTCTTGCTCAGCCACGCATGGCCATTATTCCCAATTCCAGTTCTAGCAATCATGCCTACATTGCAGGAGCAGAGAAGAAACGGAGGAAAAGAAAGGCATACTCACACCCAGAGACATTTTCCTAAAGTTTCACACACCATTTGCCCATTCATTTAATCCTCAGAAATGGTGAGCTGGTAACACTTAGCTACAAGGATAACAAGAAATGTTGACTATTCCAGGCAGTCATGAGTCCAACTGAAAATCAGGATTCTTTAATGATTTAATTCTTCCTCAGCCTGCGACTTGACATTGTGCACCACCCTGGGCTGAGCTTTGCATACTTTAGGTTTTCAGTAACTAAATGAATCCCTACTGCAGACAGTAGACAATGCCACCTTCAATGTAATGACCTTCTATTTCAACCAGACATAAACTTTCACAAAATTACTGAGCTT